AGGCCCAAAGGGGTTGCTCAAGGGGAGCAAGAGCAGTAGAGTGGCCCAGTGATGGACAGTATGCAAGAAGCCCCTGTGAGGGATGGGGGGGTAGCATGAATGAGTGTGTGAATGAGGCTAACAAAGGACTGAGTTTTTTCCCCAGCCTCAAACCAGGGAGCAATATGGATCTGGATGCCATCTGTGAGGCATGGGCCACAGCCCCTTGGCATCGGGGTAGTATAAGGGCAGCCTCCCACGTAATAAATAATGTTAACATTCAAGTCATGGCAGACAAATCAGGACAGACTGCCCTAGGCAGGTGGGCAGGCCAACTTGTGATCTTGCCTCAAGTTTGCCCCCTGTCACGCATCTTCATTATGAAAATATTAAAAACAGAAGGTAAAAGTTCAAAAACAAGTAGTCCTCCCAGAGCTGAGCATGAAATGCTTGTCAGCAACAAAAAACCTGTATTACAAGAGATTGAATCGCCTTCCACTGCAATACCCTTTCGCGGACTAAAACACATTTAGGACTAGCTGTCTTATCTTTCACCTTGCAGAGCGTCCTGTCAGTGGCCCAGTATGACACCAGTTGGTCTTCATTTTGTTGAAAAGTGTCCAAATGCAAATGGGACATATACCTGGAGCAAAAAGTAGAAGAATTGGAGGGTGTTGTCACAGCTAGCCCCTGCAAGCCAATTTCTGAGGCTATTCAGGGTCACCATCTTGGTCTTTGCCCAGCAGGAAATTGGCCAGCCAGATCAAAGGGCAGTCCATAGACACAGAAATGGCAAAGTGGAGGACAAAGGTGGCTGGGGACTTCTGCACGAGCCCACCACTGTAGATCACCAGTTTTCTTGGTGATGGGTAGCTTGTACAGGGGCACCAGGCCAGGCAGGCTTGCTCTGGTGTTGCTACCACTAGGCACCACCTCCAACTCAGGTCAGAATGGGCAGCAAGCACACAGGCATGATACATTTTAACTATCCACACGTACAGTGCCTTCCCAGACAGGATCTCAAGGCAGATCCCACCAGAGTTTTCACTGGGCAAAGGAGGGACAGCAGGGTACCAGGTCCACCACTCCCATCACTGTCCACAGCTAGATAAATAAGCAGTGATGGGGGAGCTGTCTGTCTAGCAAGCTGTCATCAGGGAGGGCTCATCATGTGTGAAGGTGGTCCTCCAGGGCAGCAAGTGTGTTCATGGGGAGATCAGCTTTCATTTGGATACAAGAGATACAAAACAATATAGACAGAGGGTGCTGACAGAAGTGATGCTTGGTCACACAATTGGCCCCCTGAAAGTGCTCTATAGCTATGCCCTGACAGAAGTGCATGGCTATGGAGCACTTTAAAAGTAACCGATCACTTGTCACTTTTAAAGTGCTCAGCAGTGCTTCTGAGTAATCCTTATTACATGAGGGTTCAGAAGAAAGTACTCCAAAGCAGAGTGCCTTCATTAACTTCAGTCAGTCCCTGGCTGGGACCAGGGCTCAGCTGATGCAACACAGCCCCACCCCAGTGCTGTCTTCAGGATGGGAGGGTGGGAAAGGGAGTGGAGGGAGCTCAGTCTGGAGTTTGCCCAGCCTGTGTCTTTATGACAACTGGAATGTTGGTAGTTGCATTGTCTTTATTGATGTAATCATTGTACTTCTATTTCAGTGATTCAGAACTTTTTTAGACTCAAGGCACCCCTTTTCAAGACCTTGGAAAATTCCAGCTCTCAGCTTTCACTTCCTTTTTGACAATGGAAAAATAACAAAACAGTTCTTTTGCAAGTCAAAATGTTTTTGACACTGGATTCCTACTTGAAATCTCTGGGTTTATCTTATGAATTATGTATAGGCATTTGCACATCTAATGTTGCTAATATTAGGTGGAATCCTATACTCTCAAAAAGAGCTCACTGTACCCCAGGATGCCGCACCACATGTTGACAATCTCTGTTGTATTTCAAGTCCACTTTCTGTTCCTCTGTAGTTAGAAGTTGTTTTTAAAAAAATTGTAGAATGAATCCAAACAACATTACTGTTGAGCTGCCCTTGCACATACAAATTAGTGCAACAAATTGCTTCAGCAGTACTTGGAAGTGAGGATTAGCAAAGTAGGGCAAGGCCAAAGCCAAACCCAAGGCAAGTATGGCCAGGTGATTAACAATTACAGAGCTGTTATTCGTCCCTATTTTAACTGGACTGTCTCAATTGCTGATTTTGAATCCTTGTAGGAACAGCATCTGTTCTTATTTTCAGTTTTAATTGGGGATTTTGGACAAAATAGTTTTCTCATTACCAGACTCCCTGAAGCCCCAGCTTCAGCTGCTTCTCAGCCCAATTTTCAGGGGTTTCTCTCCTCTCCCCATCCCAGCCTGATGCTGCTCCTTTCTGGTTTCTCAGGAGCTTCTCAGAAGCTCTGGGTCTAGTGATCTAGTCAGCAGCCTCATTCCCAAATTGCCACGTTTCTCCTCTGGCTCCCCAGTGCTACTGTGTGTGGTTGCTGCCACTGTCACTGCCCTTTCCTGGCTTCTCAAGAGCTTCCTTACTCTGCTGTTCTGGGCTCACCCAGCCAGGTCCCAAACTGTCATGTCTCTCTTTTTGGCTGCAGGAGCAAAGGTTGTCTGCAACAGTCCAAGTAAGAAACAGGAAAAGGACTATTCTTTCAGGGACAAGTACCTCTCAGAGTCTGAATTCACAGTCTGTCTTGCAAAACATAATGATACAAGAATGGTTCAATACATCACATGTCTAAAGTCATTTTCTGTTAAAAGAGAAGGCACTGGCACTGAGAAAACACATGGATACACAGTAAGATCAATTGTCAATAAGGCTGAAGAAAGCTAGTAGTAATGTAGCTAAATATTCCAGACTCAACAACACTTCTGAGAAGACTACTGTCATTGCCGCTGTACCCACTTATGCATGCCATACAGTTATGCATCATCACAGCTATTCATTTCTTGCCTGTGAGATGAAGCTGACTGCTTAAATACTTTCAGACTCAAAGCTGAGGGAAAAAAATTATTTGCAGGGGGACAAAATCTGAGACCGTTGTGGAAAATGTTTTGGCACCCTATTCAGCTGAGTTACTGTTAAATGATCTTACAGGCAAAAAGTCACATTGTGTAGCCACTGACACTTCAAGTAAAAGCAATATTAAATATTACCTATTAGTTATATAGTATTTTCACCATCCATTGCTTTTGGAAAAGGTTGGCTTGAATTTTACAAAGCTTGTGTAAGAATGGCAGTGCTATAAGTCAATTAAATACATTCAATTTTTGAGTGACAGTGGCTTGATCTCTCCCCTCCCTTGTCTTTTGTATTCTAATTTCTCTCTCCTCCTTATGCCTTGCTTTCTACATACCTTTTCACAGCATCTGATGAAGTAAACTTTTGTTTATGAAAGCTTGTGTTCTCTCTCCCTATATATGCACTTAATCAAAAAAGTGCTTATCTACCCTGGCTTTTGAATATGGAAAACATAGTGTCCTTTGTTGACAAAAGATATTTTCATTATAGGAAAAATAATTCTGTACTTTGTAATTTAAAAGTATTGCAGTTTAATTTACTGCATGCAAACAGTAATACCCATGTGCGGCATACCACACTTAATCAGGTATGTAAGCAAACGAAGTATGAGGTGGAAAGTTTGACCATGAAAATTTATAACAAGGTTTCAGACTTTGCTAAGAAGGTGAAAGAATTCCAAGCTTTCTTCCAGGAGAAAGTACACCATTATCTTCTGCAACATATTCCAGGGAGGTGTCTGTCACTTCAAACAACTATCAAAAGGCTTTTGAAATGCTGGAAAGCTGTGAAAATGTACTTCATTTCACAAGGGCAAGAAAATACCCACCCACTGATATAGGACTTCACCAGTGACCAAGAATAAGAGTTGACAAGTGAGAAACATCTCCTTCCTGAATGCTATTTGTACTTTGTGCAGAGTTTTAGGAATGTTTATCACAAAGGAATCAAAGCACTTGAAAGTGATGCAACTTGGGCCACAGATGTACATGAAGTGATGGAAGCCAAGAGACTATTTGAAGAACAGGCTGTGTGACAACTTCTTTGGTGTTACAGTGAATCGGAATTTAACAAAGTTGCCTATTGTGTTTCAAACTGCATTTGAATCTGATGCCCTGTGTGTGCAGAAGTGGAGCACTGAATACTCAGAGAAATGGTTCCCCTTTTAAACAAAGAGTACAGAGTTCATACTCGACTTCTATTTGAAGACCCCATAGACTGTGTCAAATTTGTAAATGTAGCAGACCTGGATGAAGAAGCATTGTACATGAATTTTTGTGTGCTTTATTGAAGTAATTCTAAAGCTCCAGGATACAAAACAAGGGGAATAAAAGTGAGTCATTTTTTTTTCTCCAATTGCTCTTCTGAAGATAGTGGAGCATGTACTAACTGTGCTTGTGTGCTATCCTCCAATGGAAAGAGTATTCTCTATGATGAAGAATATGTGGATGGATGAAAGAAACAGAATGAGAGCTGCCTGTGTTAAGGGTCAACTAGGTATTCAAGCCAACGTCAAGAAATGCAGTGAGTTCCATGAATTCATCTTTAGAAATACCTTTTGACAGCGTTGTATCCATGATACAAAACTGTGCTTTAGGAGGCAAAAATAACAATGAATTATGTACTGTTGTTATTGGGCTGGGTACTCATTATCATGTCTTATCAACATGCCTTTTGTTTCTCTACCTTAGGAAACAAAAGTGCAATACCAGGGACTTGTGAAGTGTTCCAGTGCTTGAGTTGTAAGTGCCCTAATGTGTGGTGGGATTCGCTATGCTCAGGCACTTACCTCCAACATGCTGGCTTTCATGAATCTGATTCTGAGTGAGGAGTCACCTAAGTTGGCTGGTGGGAAATACCAAGGAGTGAAGTCAGGGTGACCCATCTTGGACTTAAATGCTAGTCTCCACATGGGTCATAACCTGAAACCGTCTCCTGCCTACGTGGTTTTTTTTATCAAAACCTGAGAGGGGTTATTTTGGGGATGGTCCCAACAGTTTCCTTTTTAACCAGTTTGTAGCAGTTTAGGCATCACCCAGAACATTTTCTATGTATTCCTCTGGCTGCCCTGACCATCAGGATAGCATATTCTGGTATGGGAACTCTCACATTTTCTTCTACTAGAGCTCTTCTACTTAGTCCCTGCAAACTGAACGTTCACTGGGCTACTGAGGGAATGAGAGTGACCCTAGACTGATGCTCACAATACTAAGGGAGAAAGGGGGCGTTCAGATTTCATTACTCCAATGAATGAAGTACATACAAAGTGGAATAGTTTCAGCAGAGGGACTGAAACGATCACATCACAGACTATCCTGTAGTTTGGTCATTAGGGTATTATTTATTTGCAGACAAGGAGATGTGGTGCTAATCTTCTCAGGCAAAAGAGAGATTAGAACCTGGATCTTCCACATCCTGGGTGAGTGCCTCAATCACTGGGATAGTGGATGAAAGGAGGCTGCCTCTGCCAACTCTCTGCTGTGTGATTAGGTATGCTCTGAACATGCTTACCATGTCCCCCTAGATGACATTGGTGAAAGAATAACGTTTTAATGAAATTTACTGACAGGATTTAGATAAGAGAGAGGCATCTAACTGTTCAGCAATGTCATGAATTTGTCCATACCCTGAAACAAAGAACTTTAGTACCAAGATTACTTTTATCCCTATACAGTTAGGTGTGCATGGGGGTGTGTGTGTGTGTGTGCAAATACCAATAGCACTTAAACATTGCATCCAATATGTTTGTGTCTTCTGGGTTACATAAGCATGTCTAAGCCCATTTGAGAATCTAGCCTTTTGTTATTTCCCCTATGGATCCAAAGAACTGCCTGTACTATGGTAGGCTTTAGAGTGGACAGTGAGTGTATTTCTTCAAAAGTGATGTCAGCAAGCTTTCAGGAGTGTCCTTAGATGCTGTACATCTTTCAGTGTCATAGTGGACATGAGTCCAAATCACAGGAGTTGCCCATTTTTGTTAATGCTCCTAGGGTGCATTTGTATTGAAATGGAGGTATGATTGCAACACACATACCAGAGTTGGTTTTAATCTTTCTGCTGCTGGTACCAGACACACAGGCCAAAGCAATGGCAGTACAAGTTTCAGCGTGGGATGTACACTTCTAAGTAATAGCTATGGTGGCTCAGTTATGCTGAAACTTATGCTACCACAGCTTTGTTGCTATTGGTACCAGAGCTCCTGGTCCTGGTAGCTAAACTAAAGCTACCTCAGGTATGTTCAAGCATGCTGCAAACGCACCTCTGACTGCAGTGTAGATAAACCCTTAGCCTATCTTCATTCATGGATTCTGGGGTGAGAGGGAGGAGATGTATAATGTATCCTCATTTCTGTGTACAGAGGCAGCTGCCCAGAGAGAACTTCTGAATGGTGGTGATCTTCTATCAAAAATCATTAACATTCTCTAACTTGATCTGGAGCTGGTTTGTGGGATAGAATGGATACCATCTGGGTTGACAATGCAGTTTACACTCTGGAGAAACTATACAGGATAAGATGTAACTGCTGGCAAAGAAGAAGGATCATTTAAACTGAAGCAAATAATTTTGGGAAAGCCTTGTGGTTGCTGCTGCTATCTGGTTTGCATTCAAGGACACCCTTAATTTCTAGGAAAGTTGTTTCCTGGGCCACATTTTAAATGGTTCTGTTAACAGCTGGTGGCATGTTGCTCCCTGGGGTTACTCAGCTGGTCCTGGATTGTGACATTTGGTGACTGTATATTTTTAGGTGATAGTAGCAAATAGTTGCGCTGGCCACTTTCCAGTGCATTTTTAGCTCAACATTTGCCTTTGCAAGCTTTCCTGCAAACAAAAGATAGATCAGGGCTGTGCACTTTTTCAAATGAATTGTAGACTTGCATGCCAAGTAAAAGGCTTTTCAAAGGATTAAAGTGGCAGATGCATATACCAGGGATGAATTGTACTCTACTGTTTATATGTTTCCCTGACTACTTCTGGAGTTAGTAGTAGTCAGTCTGCTCTATACTTTACCACCCAGAAAAGACATAGGTATGCTGACAGCAAAAAAATAAAATAAAATCTGAAACTCAAAATTCTGACCCAGAAACATAAATTTAATTATTCTAACATGCTTAGCTTTGAATTCAAAGGTTAACAGTTGAAAGAAAGTCCATCATATCCATTTTATATTGTTTAAAATCCATTTGCTTCAAACTTCTCTTCTTTATCTCAGTGATATACCAGCATACTCAGAAATTATGGGTATAATCACATAAATGATTTATCGTGGGATAAAAAGGGGTGAGGTTTTACTGTGTATCAGCTGCTCCATGGTAACTGCCTCTGTGCATGTTCTTACTCTGCAGACTAAAATCTTAGGGGCAGCTAAACCAAAGTAGCTTACCCTCCTTGCGCTGACAGCTATGCTACCACAGTTTAACTTCCTCTAAATATATGTAGGGTAAGAACATACACAGAACAGTTACCTGGAGCAGCTGATTCACAGTGAAGTCTTGTGCATTTTATCTGCCAGTAAGATGTCTGCATGTCCGTGAGCTACAACTATAAATGTTTATATATGTAAATGGAATGATGATGTCTGTTTGCTCCTCAAGTGTTATATTTTTAACCCTACATAGTTCCACTGTGTGGCACATCTAGAATCTGGCTCCAGAGACCAACGAGGGGGGGACCTAATAGACAACATTGTGCTGGAAGAGTACCCGCAGATCCTCCCAGCTCTAGTTTTGAGCTAGGTCTATGTCCCTGATGAGTGTGTATATATATGTGTATGTATAATATATAATAGCAGCTACAGTGATGGCGAAGAGGTTCCTGGAGACTGAGGTGCCCAGGACTGAAAAACAGCCCCATAAAAGGGAAATCCAACCACAAATAAAGTTACTTATCTGCCCATTTCAGCAATTTATCAAAATGTTAATATATTCTGTTCCTGCTTTCCAAGAATTTCATAATCTTTCCCAGCTTTTCACCTGAATTTGAATTTTTGAATGTATACAACCTGATGAGCATGACTTTCTCTTCTATCATCTAGAATGACTGTTAATGAAACAATGATCTGGAATGGATCCTTTAGGATCCTATTCAATGCATCCTTCCAATTTTATAATGAATTAATTGAATTATCAATAATTACTCTGTTTTTAATTGTGTTCCAATTTTATATCCAATTTTTAATAATCACATTGAATACACATCATTACCCTACAATGGAATGTTATTTCCAGTATAAAGGCCATTGCATAGCTTTTATCAAAGAAATATTATGGTATGACTTATATTTATCAAATCCATGTTGACTGTTAGTAACTGTTTCATTATCTGATCTATCAATATATCACATATGTTACTGGTGTATACCTTCCTGAGTGAGATAAGATTCTTTGGGCTGTGTTATGCAGAAAGTCAGACTACATGATCATCATGGTTCCTTATAGCCTTGAAATTTATGAATTTACAGCATAATGGAATGTTTCAGTTACTGGGATGCCAAGAAGTCCTCTAAACCCCTTAAAAATGACAGCCTGTGATTGTGACATCTACTAATTCCTTTATTGTTCTACCCTAAATTTTATTGGGAGCTACTGAATCTGTCAAAACCAACTCTTAGGAGCTATCCAAGATGATAAACTGCTTCATCATCAGTACTAAGTGCCTATAGCACACAATAGGACCCAGCAATAAGCACTATAAAGAACAGTTGTCCTAGTTCACAGAATTATATGAATTTGAGAAAGCCACTTCAAAACACAGCCTGCACACCCTCTTAGAGGTAAGCATACTCATACTTACAGATGGATTGGCTATCCTAAAGGAGCCTTGATCTGAAATCATAGAAAATTAGGGCTGGAAGGGACCTCAGGAGGTCATCTAATACAATTTCCTGCTCAAAGCAGTACCATCCCCAACTATGTCATCCCAGCCAAGGCTTTCTTTAGCCAGTTCTTAAAAATCTCTTGAGGATGGAGATTCCACAACTTCTCTGGGTAACCTGTTCTAGTGCTTTACTACCCTCCTTGTAAGAGAGTTTTTCCTTATCTAACCTAAACTTCCCTTGCAGCAACTTGAGACCATTGCTCATCTGCCACCTCTGAGAACAGACTAGCTCCATCCTCTTTGTAACCACCCTTCAGGTAGTTGAAGGCTGCTATTAAATCTAAGAATCCAGTCATGCCTTTCTTAGTTCATGAAAGTAAGTTGTCAGTAACTTAAGAAACAGAAATAGAAAGACTGAGATGATTCATTCAGAGGAGGATTCTTCCCTTCTTCCCTCAGCTATGTAATAGCACAGCCAATACTGAAGAAACACGCCCTCAGCACACTGTTTCTAGCCAACTACCATCCAGTATCAAACCTTCTATTCTTGAGCAAGCTCATAGAGAAGATAGACAAAATCTAACTACAAGCTCATCTACCTACAGCTAATACTCTAGACCCAGTACAGTCTAGATGCATGTAAAGATTACAGGTTCAAAAACACTTAAGGAGTACTGATGGATGATCTATTGTTTCATCATCCTGGATCT